AAGGGAGCGGGCGGTAGATAGCGGAGGCCTTTGCAGCGTGTGTCCAAATGTAGCCATGCTCCTTGCGGAGATGCGCTTTCATTATTTGTACTGATATAAAATATGTTCTTGATTCCTAATCTTCTCAAGCATACGCTGTGCATTTCACTTGCAATCATGATCATGCATCATCGAATGTATTCGCATCCACACACCATGAGAGTTGCGCAAGGTCAGCAGTTTTAGCACTTCAGGCTTGGGACACACCTTCGATTCCTAGGGGTTTGCGCCTAGAGATACGAACGCGACCTCACTCCACACCTCAGTTATTTGCTTTCGTTCTGATCTCAAGATTATTTTTGGCGGATTTTTGAGGATTAAATCACGATTTACTCGCTCTCATTCTATTTTCTCTTGATTACCCGTTGATTGTAGATGTACGAAAAAATCCACAACCATTTGGGCACTATTATATACATGAGGGAACAGGGCAAGTCCATACGCGCCATCGCTGATGAAGTTCAGAAGTTGAGTTTTTGATTTTTTAAGGGTTGCTCCAAGTTATTTGATGAATTTCCTGCAGTTCACCAAATCATATAAGTAATTACAGACAGATCACTCACTGAGTTACATGGCATTATGGAGGTTTCTCAAGAGGTTCGAGCACAAATCCCCCGTTATAAGTGCACCTCGCTATAGGCATGGTTTGTACAGTAATATTCGTGCTGATTCCGCACAACCCTCTAGTCGGTATCTTTTTTCAGAACATCATGCCGAAATTATATCGGAAATCAACCGCTGCTATCGGAATAACAGCTCTTCAACTTCAACGGAAGTAGTAAGCCGGCTTAAGACCAGGGGTATCTTTGTGAGCTGTGCCACCGTTAGGAGGATTCGAAATCACCTCGGTTTCAAGAAAGCCACCACAAAATACTGCCATGCAATAAGGGATGAAAATAAGTTCGCTAGGGCCAACTTTTTCATGGAAATGCTTGAGGCGGGGACCACCTTTTCCAGCTGGGTGTTCACTGATGAGTGCACGGTCCAGGGTGAGCGTTTTATACTTTTCAAAAACCGGTGCTTGTTAGTAAGTGTTGCGAGTTTTCCTTTCAGTTGACTGCTCAACGAGGTTTTGCTTCGTGAAATCTGGAGACCAGATCTCCAGATTGCGACATCGGGCAAAGCACCCAGCCAAGGTTCCATATCTGGGGTGGGATTTCTACGCGGGGGCTACTAAGCTTGCTATACTGCCGGGAGACCGCAAAATAGATAGCGAGCTATACTGTAGAATCCTAGAAAGTGCTACTTGCCTTTCAAGGAGCAGGTGTACAACGGTAAGTTTGCGATGTTTTCTGGGTGCTTATCAGGTCTTCCGAATAGGTTGTATAATATCAGATTAGACCATGTACGAGCACACGAGCTTAAGCCCAATTCTGAACCTAGGCTTTGGCTTCCTCGCAGATCTCGCAACTTGACCTGATCGGAACACTTCAACGCCCCCGTTTCTTGCACTTTTTTGTTCAAGTTGATCATTCTGACTTTAGGCTTTTGTGAGTTGGTGCAAGACAATGCACCTCCCCATAAGAGTCGCTTCACGATTGATAAATTGACTGAATGGGGTATCGAAACGGTACCGTGGCCAGCGGAATCGCCTGACCTCAACCCCATAGAGCTTGTATGGGGCAATATGAAGACCTACGTCAGGTAAGGAAAACACTAGATAGCGAAGCTTATTTAAAAGCATTTATTTGCAGGAAGCAGGGCGTGCGGAAACTCGATGACTTGAAGGCTGCCATTTTAAACTTCTGGAAAACCCTAACCCCTGACGTCTGCAGCAAATACGTTAGTGGCATAAGGGGCAAGATGAGGCGGGTGGTGCAGCAAAGGGGAAGAAATATTGTGGAAGCAAAACACTGGGAGACGGGTGCAGGTTTTAGCACTGCACAAAGGAATGACGAGGAGGCAATAGAAGATGACCCAGATAGTGAAATTTGCAGTAGTGTGTTGTAAATAACTGATACTTTTCTACTCCTTATAAGTATTGTTTCATGTTAATTTTTTTTTACATTTTTGGTTGTTTTAATAAAATTTTAGTACGGTTGGATCCGAATACATTTTCACGCAAACCATGAAGAAAAGTGGCTCGTATGCCAGTTCGGCCGTTCTTGGCAACACATCTCATCAACCTCCTAGTTGACCCAATGGATCAGGCCGAACGATCGCTGTCCGCGCGCGCACGATACACAGGGGTTCGAATCCTCGGCAAAACGCAATGTTTGCAAACACAGTTTGGTAGCGAGTGATGTGGTTCTTTACCGTTCTAGCAGTCTCTTCACGCGATGGGAGCGTCAGGCTATATCAGCTTGGAATAATTCTCCCTTCCTTTCAGTGCTCTATGCTTTGGGAAACTGAAGTGACTCTGCTCAGCATTTCAAGCAAGAGGGTGTCTCGAAGAGAGGTGATAACACCGCGAGGCATTGGCCGTGCATCTGTCCAGAGCGCAGGCTAATTACGAGGTCAACGAGCAATTGGTCGCAATGGCCAGTCATAAAAAGAATAAGAGAGCGTAGTCGAGAAAAAAAATCAAGTTTTCGAGAAGTAAAGTGTATATTGTCAAGTGCAACTCACCGTGTTGAGTAAGGCTGTGTAAATTGAGACGATGGTTCTGTAATCTCTATCCGTGTACAGTTCTTCAAAGTTAGAGGTACTGCCTCTTGTTTTTTTCATCAGAACGCTTTTTCGTAGGTAATTATTCTATTATATGAATCGAGATGACTGCTCTCATGATTACCTCTTCATCCAATGTTCACTCGCTTCGTTTAAGTGTGTTTTGGGAGGGAAAAGAAAAGTGGGTTTTTTGGCAGAATGTGACGAATATCCATTTTCAGTACAAAATTATGGAAGAACCACTAACCTGTATCCAAGCATTCTATTAAATTCTTGTGTTGACCCATATGGCGTTTGAGATGTGCTGGCCCTCCTGTCGTCATTTATCCGGACTATGACGAAATATGCTTCCAAAATTCAGAAATGTCGTAAATTTAAAAAAATTGGCTAGCATCGAGGCTGGCTGGGAACATGAATGAAAGTACATCAGAAAAGATGTGCGTGCGTCTAGTGAACTGCTATGCACATAAACATGGGATTCCAACGAGTGGTGTCCTGCATTGAGGTCAAAAATCAATTTCAAAACCAGCTTAAAAGGTAAAGCTGGTGACCTACTTAACAAATCCCGACCCATAACACATCCTGGAACTCGTTGTGAGGAGACGTATCTATAGGAGTTTAAATTTTTCCGTTTCATTCGCTTTCAGCGGAGTTATGGTAGTGCGACGGTCTTTGATAGGTGCGACTGGTCAATCACCGTCATTTTTTCACATTCTGTGAGCGGTATTGTAGATTGGCTCGAAAAACTTCGCGAAAGAAGCTGCGTTTATAACTTAATGTTATCTCGGGCTCCATAGCTAACAGTACAACCTATAGCTCCAAGTGCTTGCATGAAGGTCAGAAGCAGGGTCAACTTTCCGGTCAAGCTATACGAACGGAGGGGTCTTAGCGGATGCCGCTTTAAGTGCTGTTATAAGTAGATCGCACCTTTAGGCTTATTCATTATTAATCATGAAACATTAGTGGTCAGATTCGATGGTTTTCACAGACCGTGAGAGGGGGAATACACTGTATAAACTA